TGTTTTACCTATTACCTAGTTTCTGCTGCAAAAGATACAAATCTTGCAGAAAAGGAAGACAGAAAGTAGCAACAGAATGTGGTAAAAAAGAGAGGTTGGAGTGATACCGAAAGTGATGTCACTTAAAATTGAGGACAATCACACAGTAGAAAATGTGAACTCACCGTCTTACAGGAAGGCTTACTACTAAAGCCACACTTCTAGACCTTTACTGAACTGGTTATTTTACAAATGGGGTCTCATTTCCTTCCTGGGCATCAATGTGCCTACTTTAAGCTTCCCATAATAGCTGAGACAACATGTTTAAGTCACCCTGTCTAATTTCTTCAGTTGAGATGCAGTCATGCAGACTTTTCTACTCAGGTTGGCCTGGAACCATGATCCTCTCTGGATAGAAAATATTTTTTTAAGATTTTTAATTTAACCAGTTACTTTGTTGTTGGTGGTGGTGGTAGTTGTGAAGCTTTAACTCCGGGCATAAGTACTATCTCTGAGCTCTTTTGCTCAGGACTAGCATTCTACCACTTGAGCCACAGCTCAACTTCCAGTTTGCTGGTGTTTAATTGAAGATAAGAGTTTCCTGGACTTTTCTTCCCTAGACTGGCATCAAACCTCAATTCTCAGATCTCAGCCTCCTAAGTAGCTACGATTACAGGTATAACCCATCAAATGTGGGGCTAACTAGTTACAATCTTAAAGAATATGAAATATAGCCATAGTCTTCCCTTTAATTCAGTAAGTACACTGCTATTCGATATGAAATAAAACTTAATGAAGAGATGTATCATAAAGCAACTACTATTTATGTTGACCACAATTTTGTTTACATCTTGGGACACAGGTTGATACCAATGGTATGGCACAATATATTTTTTATTTTCCTGCTTTATCCTCCTGAGTGCTGGGATTACAGGCATGCACCATCACTTCGGGGTTGTTGGTCTTTTCATTGTTACCTCAGTTATTACTGAGTAATACACTACTGCAAACTCAGTGGCTTAAAACCAGCAGCAATTTGTAATTTCTCTTGATTCTGTGATTTTAGTGCATTCAGCTGGGAATATTTATGAGGTCAAAGACACTGGAAATATGACTAGAACTAAAGTGAGCCTCATGCATTACCTGGGAGGGTCCAACTATTCTGTCTAGCCTCACCCAAGTTTTTATATATATTGACTGGCTTTTAAGATGGAAAAGCTGGAGCTGCCTCTTAAGGACTATGTGCATTATTATCTCCATCACCTTCCATTTATCAAAACAAGTTACCAGGCCAAGCCTGTACTTGCATGCAGTAACCTCCCAGCTACTGATGGATGTAAACAGTATCACTGGATGTCTCCATTGTAACAACTGAGCTCAGGATTGAAGCACAGGAAAAGGGACAGACTTCTATTTACAAAACTATAAGCTTTCCACCTATTCCAGAAGCCATCTCTCACCTTACAACAGATTATTAGGCATGAATGGGTATAATCTCATTTTTAACAGTGTATCTCATTCAAAAATACACATGTCTAGCACTTGTAGCTCACACCTATAATCTTTGCTACTCAGGAGGCTGAGATATGAGGATCGTGGTTTAAAACTAGCCCAGGGGGAAAAAAGTCCATGAGACTTCAATTAACCACAAAAAAACAAGTGGAACTGTGGCTCAACTAGTAAAGCACTAGCCTTGAGCACAAAAGCTCAGGGACAATGCCCAGACAGAGTTCAAGCCACACAACTGGCAGAAAAAAAAATTTTTTTACCCTAGCCACATGAACTAAAACTAAATTCAAACGAAAGAACCTCTTACCCCTGGCTCCCCCGAGAGCTAGATTTAGGTATCACAGCTTCACTTGCAAATCTGAAATCTCTATCTGAACTCTGGAACTCAATAAATTTGTATGGTAAAAAGTACTTAAAATACCAGCTGTTAAGATTTTTAGGTAGTAAAATTATAAACTTTGCACATTATGCTTATTTGTATTTAATGTTTCTTTTATTCTCTGCAATATTCAAAAATCTATACTGCAGGCTAAATGTATTTTTTAAGTCCACACCATGAGTTAAATACATAATTAACTGATCAACTCTAGGAAGTCGTTTAGCTCAATCAATATTCATCACAATTTTGTTGTACATTGCTTAAAACACATACAAAACATGCAACTTTTCATAATAAAATATATTTCAAAAATAAAAACAACCAAAAAAGCAGTTCATAATGCCTTATCTGGACTCTACTAATGAAAGGCTCAAAGCTTATTTCCTATACCTGACTTCAGTAGGATAAACTGAAGGAACCTTGGAAGATATGGCCAGCCTGTAACCCACAGGGATTCTTTAAAATTTTACAATAATTTTTTAAAGTTGGCAGCTTTGGTTCTCTATCCATTTCCTGCAATCCCCAGAAGTTGATTATTTAAATTACAGATATAAAACACACTTGTAAGCTAGGAATGTGGCTTAGTGGTAGAGTGCTTATCTAGCACTCTCAGTACCACATAAACAGAAAAAGCCAAAAGTGGTGCTGTGGCTCAAGTGGTAGAGTACTAGTCTTGAGCAAAAGCAGCTCAGGGACAGTGCCCAGGCCCTTAGATCAAGCCCCAGGACTGGCAAACACATAAACACACACATACACACATACATATACACACACACACACACACATACTTGTAGAAGAAACCTCTTCAAGATCAATAGGCTTCCAAGAGCAAAGAGACAAACGGCACATGGTCTCCCTGATAAGTGGATGTTAAATCCAAAAGGTAAGGCGATATGACAAAGTAAACAACATTGGAGAAACAAAGAACCTCCACTCATCTGGACGAATCATTACTAAATGACCCCACGCTGCTGATCACATATATGGGGATATATGTGCACATCGGAGGGAAACTAGAAGGAAGACACAGAACTAGAGGAAAACAGGAGAAAACGTACAACAGTGGGACCCATCAACTGCACCGGACATTGATCAAAACGAACAAAGCAACTAACTCAATGGCAGCAATGGGAGGGAGGGAGGGAGGGAGTAGAAAAGAGGGAACAGCTGACAATGCAAAAAGAAGCAATGTACTTATCACCCAATGTGGAAGAAATAACTGTAGAGTCAAAGCTCATAGAACTCATAAGCTTTATAGACCACGATAGACAATTTGCCCTAAGAAGGTTAGAATGTTTGTGACTTTAAGTATCACTATCCCACAATACTGTGAAATTTGTGAAATTATGTAATCACTTAATCACAAAAAAAAAAATTTGCAAAAGCCGGGCACGGATGGCTCATGCCTGTAAACCTAGCTACTTAGGAGGCTGAGATCTGAGGATCACAGTTCAAAGCCAGCCAGCAAAGGAAACTCTTATCTTCAATAAAACACTAGAAAACCGGAAGTGGTGCTGTGGCTCAAGCGGTAGAGCCCTCGCCTTGAGCTGAAGAGCGCCGGGAAAGCACCCAGGCCCAGAGTTCAAGCCCACGACCAACAACAACAACAAAAATTTGCAAAAAAAAAAGATTAATAAGCTTCAAGAGAAGACTAGAGGTTAGGAGGGGGGAAACTATCCTGAAGTACTGACAGACCAGTGGTCACAGATTAAAAGTCAACTCACTGGTGAGGCTCTATGTTACACACCCGCCCTGAAAGCCATTCAAAGGGAGCATAATTCACTTAGTACTCACTTCAAAGGGATTTTTTATTTTGTCGGTTGTGGGACCTGAACTCTGGGCCTGGGTGCTGTCCCTCAGCTCTTCAGCTCAAGGTGAGCGCTCTACCACTTGAGCCACAGTGCCACTTGGTTTTCTAGTGGTTTATTGGAGATAAGAGTCTCCCAGAGGGGTTGGGAAGGTGGCTCACTGGTAGAGCGCTTGCCTTGCATGCCTGAGGCCCTGGGTTCAATTCCTCAGCACCACATAAGCAAAAAGAAAAAAGCCGGAGGTGGCCCTGTGGCTCAAGTGGTAGAGCGCTAGCCTTGAGCTGAAGAGCTGAGGGACAGCGCCCAGGCCGAGTTCAGGCCCCACGACCAGACCACCCCCCCCAAAAAAAAAGTCTCCCAGAGTTTCGTGCGGGGCTGGCTTTGAACCGCGATTCTCAGATCTCAGCCTCCTGAGTAGCTAGAGCCACCAGCGCCCAGCTTCAAAGGTATATCCTATCTAAAGTTTAAAGCATACTCTAGTCTCGGGTCAGGGTTCAATCATTTTCTAATGCCTTTTATGTACTTTGAAGATGTTTTATGTTCAATATTTTGATGTTTTTCTATGTAATGAGTCCGCATCCCACACCAGTTTCAGAAACTCCATGTCTGCCTTCCACAGGCTTTAATCCTTCCAGTGCACATAGGAAACAAGACCGTGCCTCCCGTAAAGGCATGATGACAAAACTGATTTATAAATTTAACATCCTCAGCTGCAAAGTCCTGCAGCAGATGGCTTATAGTGTTCACCTGCAAGAAATTATCCACAAAAAAAAAAAAAAAATCACTTATGTGCGCGGAACAGAGATTGCCTCGATGGTCATCTTAAATCAAGCAAGTCTGTTCTGACCAGAGGAAGCACAAAGTCATCTACCTACTCAGCACACCGCTCTTCTGGCTCAAGGTCCCCAGTCAGAGCCTCTCACCCTTGACCCGGGGGTGGGGAGCGGGGAGGAGGGGAAACCACGGAGGACTCGAGCCGTGACCCCACAGCCCTCGGGGGGGGGGGCAAGAGGAGATGCTAAGAGTCGGGGGAGGACGGGGTGGGGACGGGGAGAGCTCCAGCGCCACACCTGCGGCCGGCCGAGGCCGCGGCGGGCCGCCCGGGCCACATCGGGGAGAAGGGTCCCTCGCCTCTTCCACTCTCTTCTCAGGAGCGGCCGGCCGCGGGTCGGGAGCCGCGCGGGCCCGGAGCCGGAGGGAGGGCGAGACACAGAGGCGGGAGCGTGCAGGAATAACGGAGCTCCGACGCGGCCCCCCCCCCCCCCCCCCACCCCGGCCCGCCCCCGCCCCCCGCAACGCGAGCTCGACCCCGCACTCGCCGCTACCTGGGAAGCCGGCCGCTGCCGCCGCCGCAGCCGCACCTCCCGGCGAATCCCAAGTTCCCGGAGCGCTGCGCGAAGCCGCCTGCTGCGCCCGCCGCAGAAGGCGCAGGCGAACGCAGAACGCCGAGAGGCGGAGCCCGCGAGTCACGTGCTCGCGGCCGCGTCACGTGGCCGGCGGAGATGCGCGTGCGCCACACGGCTGCCCTCAGGGCCAGCGCCCCAGGCCCGGCTTTCTGGGCTCCGGTCCGCACCGCTGGGGCTTCTCTGGAAGCCCACGGGCCTCGGGGTCGCGAGGGGCCGCTGCCGGGATTTAGGCGTCCTTCTTTTGGGAGACTCGGGACGCGCGACGGGCGCGTCTCCGGCGAGGGCTCCGCGGGGCGAAGGCCGGCTTCCCACCCGCTGGGAACCCGGACGGAAAAGCCTGCGGGAAGCCCCGCTCCCCGCCCACTTCAGGGCGGGCCCGGCCGGGGCGCTGCCCGGCACCGAGTGGTGCTGCCTGGGACCCCGGGCCGCGAAGATGATTGGTTCGGTCCCCCGTCGCACGTGTTTCTCCCGCCTCCTACCTGTGCGGGATTGACAGCACCTGGGGAAGACCAGGAGCTAGGAAAGCGGGCGTCTGGACCTGGAGGCGGGAGGCCCGGGGCTGTCAGGCTCCGAAGGCCCTTCGCTCTCGTTTGTAACTACAAGCTGGGGCCTAGAAAAGGGCTCGCTTTGAGCCACGCAGGTCTGCTCCTTACAGAGAGCGCGACCAGCTGTAGAGTCCTATTCCCAGCTGGCTCTAAAGCCAACAAGTTTCTTGGCATAGGATTCCAAGCGATCTCGGTCAAACTCACTTTTCCCATTTTGCACTTATTTCCCCTAAATAAGTACAAAACGTTTTGTTTTCTAAGTATCACTCAACGACGCCACTGAGTTACTAGAAGAAATGTTCATTTTCTTCCTCTGCAATTTCCCCAGGCTGCGCTAGAATCTGGCTAAACACCTGTTTCCCTTGAATAGTTAACTTTCTTCACATTAGCTACTTTTTCCTAATTGCCTTTCTCCTCTTTGCCCCTGAAAGGTCCTCAATCGCTTCTATCCTTAAAGGGAAAAAGTAGCATTTTATTCAGAAACTACTGAAATATGGGAAATGAGTGTAGTTCTGTATTTCCAATGTCTCTTCCCCCCATTGGCAATAGTTCCTAAATAGTTCCTATTTTTACCATTTACTGGCCGACTCCAACTTTGACAACTCCCAAAGTACACATCAGTCTCCTACTCATCTTTCAAAATCCAAGTCAAAAACCACTGACTCGTCTTTCTTCTATGCATCCTTGATTTAACAGCTTGAGCACTTGAAGTTTGTTAACTTCAGTTGCAGCTTCTTCCTTGATTTCCAGCTCACTGTTTAGTCTGACTAGATTACCTGGAAATGTCCATCTTCTGTAAGAGGTGATATGCCTACCATCTTTCTTCTTACTGTTATAAACTTTTTGAAACAGGAATCTCTGGATTTCTTGAGTAACTTCCATTATGGCTAGACCTTCAATACACACTTGAGTGAATTGTCTTGACCATAGTAGTAGCAGTTTAGTGAATACAGAGGCCAACAATACTGAGAAGCTGAAATAAATTTCTTTTAGCTGATAGAAACTTTGATGAAACATGTTTGTGGGGGATAAAAATGGAATCTCAAAGTTTGAGTCATCAAATAAGTTCTGAGTGCTCACTGCTTATTTGTTGGAGCATCTTGGGAGAACAAGATGCCACACTTGTGTTAGTTTGGGGATTCTGGGGAGGGAGCCCAGAGCTTCTGGCCTGCTAAGGAAATACTCTGCCTCAGAGCTACAGCCCTAGTCCAGAGCCACTTTTCATGTATGTGTTTTGTGTGTTTATGCATATGCAAGCACACGCACCAGTACTGGAGCTTGAACTCAGGATCTGGGTGCTGTCCCTTAGCTTTTTCACTCAAAGATGACCCCCAACCTCTTGAGCCACAGCTTCACTTCTGGTTTTTGCGTGACTAATTGAAGATAATAGTCTCATGAACTTTCTTGCCTGGACTGGCTTTGAAACTGGATCCTCAGATCTCAGCCCACCTGTGTAGCACTAGATTATAACTGTGAAGGTTGTGAAGCTCAGGTAGAACTCTTTTTAATTCTGATTTTTTTTAATGTCAAGAACCTGGAGAAATTAAGGTTTAAGATGGAGTGGAACATAAAATGATTCTAGTTATTCCAGGGAGCTTAATTTTAAAAGTCAGGTCTCAATAGATGAAAATTAAAACATTCTCTTGTTCTCTCTCCTTGTCCACTGTGCTTCCCCCTTTGAAGTGTCAATTTGGGTCAGCCAATCAGATTCCAGTTCCTTTCATCTGAACCAGCTTTGCCAAGAAAAGTCTCAAACCCCTTAGGCGTACACTAGAGTTTTACAAGCCAACAGTAAATTCTTGTTATTGGGAAAACCAACTTAGAATGGATCTCAGTTACTTTGTTAAGGACTTGAGCTGGGAGAACAGACTGTTGCCATCTTTTCTTCTTTGTTCCTTCTCTTGTCTTAGGGTTGGTCAACAGTAGGAGAAAAACAACCAGAGCACCTCCAGCCAAATCTTGTATTGGCTGAAGAGGGAAGATTCAGTCACTATAAGATTGCTTACCTGGTAATGTAATGCATAGTCAGGAATCTATCAGTCTAAAAAATAATGTAATTTAAGAATTGGCATAGCTGTTTGGGGATTTTTTTAATGTAATAAAGTCTCTAGTGATTCCTTCTTGATTTTCCTTGATTTTCCTTAGAGTAAACATGTCACAATTATTCTCAGTCATCTTTCAAACTACTGTGACAACTTCTGTTTTGATAGATGGGATAAATAAATTGAACAAAATGAGGAGGGACATAAGGAGAGACAAATAGGGAATTGAGGAAAAGTTGTCATTAATTTTTTTTTCTTTACCAGGCTCTGGTGTCTCACAACTGTAATCTTAGCTACTCAGGAGGCTGACATCTGAGGATCACAGTTCAAAGTCAGCCTGGGCAAGAAAGTCCATGAGACTCTTATCTCCAGTTAACCACCAGAAAACTGGAAGTAGAGCTGTGGCTCTAAGTGGTAGAGTGCTAGCCTTGAGAGAAAGAGCTCAGGGACAGTGACCTAGCCCTGAGTTCAAGACTTGCAACAAAAAAAAATTTTTTCCTCACCTCAAGGAGCACATGAACTATCTTTGCTCACCATACAAACACATTAAATAAGTACCTCAGCCCTTCCAAGGTAGATCCTCAGTTGACTCATAATCACCTGCACTAAGGCAGGTTCTGTGTGGAAGATACAGCATAAATACATACACTGTTTCCTATTCTGGGCTCTAAAACCCTCCTAAGTACAGCTCTTTTGTGACGGTATCACTACTAAGAACACCTTTATGCCTAAAAGATTTGATACTCTCTTTGTAAAGCTGCTTCTTTACTTAGCAAGGTAAAAAGAGCTTACGTAAGGAATTCCTGTACTGTCTGTGCCAAATTACAGTGACATGTTTTTTTGTTCATTCTCCAGGCCCTGTACCACCTGCCTTTAATTACAGCAGCACTATAACTTGCAAGGAGGCCACCAGCTTCCAATAGGTGATAGGAGGTCTCCAGTCCTCTCAGACACAAGGACTCTGACTGAAGACGACTTTGAATCACAGGTGATCCTCTGGAACACTTCTTTGTGTAATCCTAGAGAGGGTAATGGAGGCAGCAAGACTATTTCCTGATGGGGAGTGACTTACCAATGTGGATCTTACAGGTGAAATCATGTGGGACAGATTAGATGACACTATGAGGCAAACACAGGGTGGAGAACACGAACCCTCATAGTGTAGATTCCTTTAAAAAGTTAAATTTAGCTGGGAAGTTGGCTCAGTGGTAAAGTGCTTGCCTCTCATGCATGAAGTCCTGGGTTCAATTCCTCAGCACCACATAAGCAAAAAAAACAAAACCAAAAAAAAAAAACAAAGAAAAAAGTTGGCTCATGCCTGTAATCCTAGCTACTCAGGAGGCTGAGATCTGAGGATCGCAGTTCGAAGCCAGCCAGGGCAGGAAAGTCCATGAGACTCTTATCTCCAATAAACCACTAGAAAACCGGAAGTGGCGCTGTGGCTTAAGTGGTAGAGCACTCGCCTTGAGCTGAAGAGCACAGGGACAGTGCCCAAGCTCAGAGTTCAAGCCCCACGACTGACAAAAAAAAAAAAAGGTAAGTTTATGAAAATGAAAAAGGAGAAGAGTGACTGTCATAGGTAAAATGAGACTAAAGAAATGTGATAGTCAACAGTAAGGAATTTTAGGTCAAGATGTGGCTCTCACACCTGTGGAAAGAAGGCAATCCATGATAACGGCAGAGCCTCACCCTGCAATGCAATGAAAGACAAAGTCTTTGCTAGGCTGATGGGCTCCCGTGTAATAATAAGAAAAATAAACTCAGTGTTTCCTTGGACTCAATACTTAAAACATGTTAGCTTGCCAAAATAAGGAGAATTTTTCACATATATCATACAGTTCCCCCAAAGGACACTGAAAATCCCACACTTCAATTCCTATCTGACCCCCTCAGCCTGGAGTAAGAGTCAGATCCCACAAAGTAAGAGCTGACTTCCACATGAGATCCACCCTACAGGTGCCACGATGCAGCTTTCCAAAACTCCAACAGCTCTGGGCCCCTTTATAGGTTGATTGGGTTGATTGTTTCCTAGAATGACTCAGAGAACTCAGAGAAACACTTTTCTTAGTTTACCTGCTTATTGTTTTACTATTATAAACACCAATTATTTGTACAAGAGTTTCCTTTTAACATATCCATTGTGTGTACAATACTGTAAGGTCATACTAGAATATGACTCAATTCAAAGTTTCTCCTTATTTCTCAGAAATGAACCTGAAATATAACCCAGAGGCTGTTACTTTCATAGTCCTGAGAATACATTCTGCAATTTGTCAGGGATCTAAAACACCCTAAAGACTCTTATCTAGTGCTATAGATTTTAAGATTGAGGTTTTACTTTGTTGTAAGCAAAACCATTGTTCCATGGTATGTGTGAAACTTTCATATTTCTGAAGAACGAAAGTAAATG